CATGTCTTTCCCTCCCCTCCCTGCCTCGCCTGCGCCGCCCTGCCTTCCTTGCGTCGAGGGGCGGCAGCGCGCCGCTCCTCACTCCTCGTTTCCCACGACAGAGGCTCTTCTGCAGACCCTCCACCTGAAAGTGTGGGGCCCAGCCCGCGTTCGTGGACAGGGCAGTGAGCGATACTTTCTGCTGGTTGTCGACGACTACTCGCGTTACACCACGATCTTCCCCTTGCGCACCAAGGGTGAGGTCCCTGCTGTCCTGATCCCTTGGATCAGAGCAGTTCGTCACCAGCTCCGCCGCAGGTTCCTCCAGGACCTTCCTGTCCTGCGTCTGCACTCTGACAGAGGTGGTGAGTTCACCTCCGACCTCTTGCGGGCCTTCTGTCAAGGGGAGGGCATCGAGCAGTCATTCACGCTTCCGGGCTCACCACAACAAAATGGGGTTGTTGAGCGCCGCATTGGCTTGGTCATGGAGGTCGCTCGTACCTCCTTGATATCCATGCAGCGGCTCCCCATTTTTTGTGGCCGTTTGCGGTCCGGTACGCCGCGCAGCAGCTCAACCTCTGGCCCCGTGTCTCCTTGCCGGAGACCTCGCCCACACTGCGTTGGACGGGGGAGGTTGGCGATGCGTCGCGTTTCCGAGTTTGGAGTGATCGTGCCCTTGTCCGCGATACGTCCACGGACAAGCTCTCCTCCCGCACCATTCCCTGTGTCTTCCTTGGCTTTGTCCCTGACGCACCTGGCTGGCAGTTTTACCACCCCACCTCGCGCCGTGTCCTGCCCTCTGAGGACGTCACCTTTGACAAGTCGGTTCCTTTCTACCGTCTCTTCCCATACCGCACTGCCCCTCTGCTCCCCCCCGCCGCTTTTCCTCGCTCCAGGTCCCCCTCCGGTAGACCCCTTCCCCCCTCAGGGTCCTGCTCCTTCAGGTGTGTCTCAGGTAGACCCGCCCCCCTTGGCTGAGCCTGTTGAGGTCACTAGCGACTCAGGTGCTGCTGCGGGAGGTGCTTGTGGGGGTGCTGCATTTGAGGGTGCTGCGTCTTGGGGTGCTGCGTCTGGGGGTGCTGAGCCTGCGCGTGAGGTGCTGGGGAGTGCGGAGCCTCGGGGTGCTGAGCCTGTCCGTGAGGTGCTGGGGGGTGCGGAGCCTGGGGGTGCTGAGCCTGTCTGTGAGGTGCTGGGGGGTGCGGAGCCTGGGGGTGCTGAGCCTACGAGTGCGGAGCCTGGGGGTGCTGAGCAGGAGGGTGCCGGGTCAGGGGGTGCCGAGTCTGCTGGCGTTCCTCTGGGTCTCGTTTCCCGACGCGGGCCTCTCTCACCAAAGCAGGCACGACAGTGGCTTGCGTCGCGTACCCGCCTGAGGAGTCGTCCTGCTCGAGCTGCTTGTCTTGGAGGTGCTTGGAGTGCTTGTGTCTCTGGTCCTGGAGGTGCTCGTACTGGAGGTACTGGAGCTGCGGGGACTGGTGCTGTTCCTGGAGCTGGAGGTGTCGGCTCTGGGGGTGCTGCTACTGGAGGTACTGGGGCTGGAGGCCCTGGAGCTGGTGCTGTCGACCCTAGAGTTGGGGACCCTGGGGCTGGAGGTGCCGGTTCTGGGGGTGCTGCTACTGGTGGCGCTAGAGCTGGAGGTGCTGCTCCTGGAGGCGCTGGAGCTGGAGGTTCTGGAGCTGCTGGAGGAACTGGAGCTGGAGGTGCTGCTGCTAGAGGCACTCGAGCTGGAGGCGCTGCTGCTGGAGGCGCTGGAGCTGGAGGTTCTGGAGCTGCTGGAGGCGCTGGAGCTGGAGGTGCTACTGCTAGAGGCACTGGAGCTGGAGGTGCTGCTGCTGGAGGTTCAGGAGCCGCTCGAGGCGCTGGAGCTGGAGGTTCTGGAGCTACTGGAGGCGCTGGAGCTACTGGTACTGGTGGCACTGCACCGCCGCGACTGTTTTTCGCTCCGCCGTCACCGTCGTCTCTGCCACCGCCTGACTCCGTGCTTCGCCAGGTTCTTAGCCTCTCGTCTTCTACTGGCCTCCCGTTATAGCCCGGCGCACCACTCCATCCTCCTTCTTCTTTCACTGAGCAGACAGTGAGCCTCCGTCTCATCCTGCCTCGACTGTTCGCACGCGTCGCACAGGTAGTCGTGAACCTCGTGAGCGTCCGCCTCGTGTCCCTAGCACGCACGATATGGCACTTCGTCCTTCCTCTGTTCCACAGCGTGTTCCCCTGCCGTCTCCTCCTGGGTCTTCTCTGCCTGACGTTCGGGATCCTGAGTCAGACCTGATTCGTGTTGCTCACCCTACTGTCACGCGTCTGCTAGCCACTGTTGTCACTGACCCGTCGTTTGAGTCTGCTGCTGCGTCTGCCTTAGTCTCTGAGCTTGTTGACTTTGCTGCTGCATGTCGTCTCGACTTCGCTGCTAGTCTTGTTGCTGAGTCTGGGTCTGTCTGTCCTCCGTCCGTCGGGGGTGAGTGTGCTCTTGGCACGGACGTCCTTGAGGACAGGCAGGAGGACTTTGAGTGTCTTGCAGCCGCTGCTCCTCATCTCGTGGCCATGCTGCTTGCCCCTGAGGGAGACCCGGATGCTCCAGACATCCCGACCCCGCGCTCCTACGCTAAGGCGATCGCGGGTGAGTACTCCGCTCAGTAGCAACGGACCCACGGGCGACTGGCGCAGCAGGCTCGCTGGGCTACCGGAGCAGAGCCCCGGACTACTGGCGCTGCTGACGACACGACGGCTGCCTCCGCTCAACCTGCCCCAACTGTCCCAACCCCCTTTCACACACCCCCTGCTGCACCGCAGCTACACGAGGGCAAGGGGCAGCGCGTGGGTCCACAGGGCAGCGCGCGTGGGTCGATGGGGCAGCGCGCGCGGGTCCCCTGGGGCGACGCGCGGGTCGATGGGGGCAGCGCGCGGGTCCCACGGGGCGGCGCGCTGGACGACGGGGCAACCAGAAGGCCCTGACACAAATGTACCTACCAACCCGCTGCACAACCAGTGGTACACGAAAACATTGCGGGCAGGTTGCATTATCTAAAGTCGACGTGAAATCTAAGGTAGGCCACTGAAAATGTCGCAGTGTCTGTTGGGTCTGCCCAAATACTGTTCGCGTGGTTGGGTCCCGAGAACAAGCGGGTGGCACGATTGCAGGTTGCTTGCTGAGTACCCAACCGCCCACCGGCCGACCCGACCAGTCAGGTTGGGTTGACTTTTTCATACAACCGGGCCCTGCCACCAAGGCGTACGTACCGTATTCTCCCGGACATAACACCCTGGGGTATTATGATAAATACAGGGAAAAAAAGGGGGGGGTCCTGTCAGAATCCCAGCCACTAGACCACTGGGATAAAAGGGCTTGTTAAGTAGCGGGTCAGTGCACCCATAACCCCCCAGGCCAACGTGCCTGTAACCCTTCCCTAGGATCAATCGGGGATCACCAGTGGACCTCTGACAGGTCCTCTCATCGAGAAAAAGCTATATACTACCCGGGTCTATTGATATGGTATATTTTAGTGTAAGATGTTTTTTCAACTAGACAACTTGAGTGTTTTCATGGTAGTTATAACATCACGGGTTGAGGCGCGAATGTGAGTTTCGACGTGAACGTCATCACCCCCTCGAAAATGCGATGTGGTTCCTCTCTGGCCACTTGCAGCGGAAGATTCGCCAGCGCGTGGCGACAGCGAAATAGTGCGAGGGGTGAAATCTCGGCAGATTTGAAGTGAAAGAACCGCGAAAGTCCATCGAGGGAGAGATTTTCGCGATGTCGCACCTACTCGTTAACATCTATAGTACGGAATGTGTAAGAAAAGGGGGGTGTTATAAAATATCACCCCAAAAGGGGGGGTATAGTACAAACGAGGTCGTTTATAGCACCCACCCCACACAAGCTACCCGGGGGTGTTTTGTCCGGGAGAATATGGGTAACACGCTCTTAGCCTATGGGGGTGTGCTAAACTATTAGTATGTTACGGCAGTTATCTTAGGGCACAGTGAGTTACATCGTATCCAGTACAACTCTTTGTTTCCGTGCACCACTTTTAACCCCTTCCTATACACATAAACAAGGACATTCTGAGAGGTAATCACATATTTACAATATGTCCTCAATACAAACGCATCCCAACAAGTACGTAATACCCATGCGAAGCAAGCCATGCAGTCCCACACTCCCCTCACAGCTAGTGATTGATGCCAGGCATAGCAAAACAACGCATTTACACCTTCATGACCCTCGCAGCATAAGAATAGCACCATCGATGCGCTGCACTACGCGTACGATGTGACTTCCCTCACAATGCCTTGGGCGCGCCACCCTCACAAAGATCACAGAAACTTCTCATTCCCATTCTGCAACAGAGCCACCCCTTGTGATGATCCTCCACTCTGCTTGAAGCTGCTAGAAAGGGGCAGAGGAGCACACTGCAGATGTCTTGCCTGCCACTCCCCTAGACTGGGCTCGCAAGCCCACCACAGCTCCTATTCCAGCATAACCCACCACTGATGGTAACAGCCAGCAGAGCAAAAGCCACAGGCGATGGAGCAGTAGAGGTTGGAGCATAGAGGGGTGCACACAGGTGCAAGGTGCGACGGGGAGAAGTGGGGTGAGAGGGCGGAGCGGAAGGGACGCATCATGCAGCAAGGGTCATAACGGGCATGGGCGAGGTAGGTAAGGTGCTGTGGGAGGCTTCCGTCGCAGGCTGTAGCGCCCACTGCTGCGCCATGGGTTGATATGCACAAGGGGATAGACCGCGGCAGCAACTTGCAGGCACTGTGACATGTGTTGGAGGTGGGCGGGGGAGCTGTATCAGAGCGATGGGCCGTATATAGATGAGGCTGTGGGAATGGTTTCAGCTAGTCCACTGTCCTACTATGCACTCCCCGTCGGATCTGAGCCATAAGGGCCTCGGCATTTGTGAACTATGTACGTTCTTGCCCGCTCTTCCCTGGCCGTTTCTCTTACATGTTATCTTTCCCTCGCATCTCCCTCTAACTGCCCTCTTCCACCATCACCGTGTTCACACGCGCCCACACCGTCCCTACTCCCACTCGCCCACGTCCCCCTGCCCCTCAGGCCCCCACCTCGCACCAGCGGCGTTGAGCGCAAGAATGAGCGATCCCGAGAAGCAGCAGCACTGCGCCAGCGACCCTCGCCACGCGCCCTCCACCGCCGCCGGCACCGCGCTCGACAACGACAGCCCCTTCTGCGCCGCCGCCACCGCGGGCGGAGCAGGCGCCGCCGCCTGCGGGTTCGCCATGATACACGCGGCGGCACGGCGCAGCGCAGGAGGCGCGGAGGCGGAGGCGGCTAGCGCGGTGCCCAGCACATGGCAGAAGCAGCGGGAGAGCGAGAGCCAGCAGGCGATGCGGTACAGAAGCGACGCGCCGCGCTGCACGCCCCACGCGCCCGCCCGCCAATTGCGCGAGAGCTGCCATGCCCACATGTGCATGAGAGACCACACGCTGTTGGTATTACCGACAGGGGGTATAGTTGGGTGTTCCCGCTGCAGCAGCCACCACCAATCGGCGTCCCGCCATCCGTTCCCTCCCTGCTCCCACTCCCGCCACCACGGGTCGTCCTCACCCCCGCCGCCCTCTCCGCCTGCGCCCCCGGCACCGGGGTCGCCGCCAGAGGAGCCGCCGCCACCACCGTTCCAGCTGCCGCCACCACCGCCGTTGTTCCCCCAACCCCCGCCCAATCCGTCACCGCTACCGCCGACTGGGAAATCAGAGCCGTCGAAAGACCAGGGGTCGCCGCCGGAGAAGCCTCCGCCGTCCATCCCGCCATCCCAACCATCTGACCCCGAACCACCGCTCCCGCCGACCCGCTTCCGCCCTATGCTGCGCGCGCGGAAAGTATGAGGAACCGTGACGTGCCACGTGTCAGTCTTACTAGGCGGCGGCGCGACCGCGTCTTGAATGGTAGCAGAGTCCGAGGTGACAAACGAAACTGGATTTGATAAAAACGAGTATGAGCTGTACAAGGTAGATCCGTTGTAAGGAGATCCGGCAACAAACTTCCCTACTGTGGAAGGATGTGCGTATAACGGGGTCGGGCCGTAAGCTGCGTCACGGCCAAGTATGTGCGGCGAACACTGGCTCAGGTGCGCCGGATAAGGAAAGGCGGACACGTGTTTTCCACCGCCATCCACCTGCGTGGGCGTGGCTGTACAATGAAACGTCGGATCCACGAGCCGGTAGGCGGTGGAAGTGAACAAGACAGGCGGAAGACGACGCCCGGTCGTGACGCAGGTACCGCTGGAGTTGTTGTCGGGCGGTAGCGACGTTGACGGCCATGGACTAACGGCGACGGCAAGTGTCCATGGCGCAGACGCAGGAGATGACGGGTCGGCATCGGCGGGAGTGTGAGGCTTGCTGCTGCTGGTTGTTGGCGCGTCGGTGGCAAGTGCCGTCGCTGCCGTGGAAAGAGAGAGGCCGGAGCGTATGCACAAGTCGGCTAGGGGGGCGAGGGACGCGGCGGGGAAGGAGATGTGTTGCGCCGAGGAGAACGAAAGGAGAACGGAGGAGAGGAGAGGTTGGCTTGCGAAGGACGAAGCGGAAGACAACATAAGAGCGCTTTCCGCCATAATTGGTGGCTATCGCAGGCGGCCACGAGCAGAAGCCCTGGGCCTGTGATGGCTCACGGCTGATTGCTCTAATCTGGTGCAGATCTCAGGCAAAATTAGACCAGCACAATGTACAACCAGAAGGGAGGCCAGGTATTTGTGGGTAACTCGCCCTTATCGAGTGAGAAATTTTGAGCATCGACATTCGTGTTCCCACCGTGGATTTTTCGAAGTGGATTAGAATCTCCTTTCGTGCCCACTCGATTGTGGTTCCGAACCGACATTAGAAACTCTGCTTGAGATTTCGAGGCCACAGGTTGGCAAGGGGAACGTAGTCGAATGTACGACGATTTAGGCTGAACTAAAGGGTATTACGCGTAACACTTGCTGAACCTACACCATACCCGAAGGTTCCGTGAGGGCGAAGCGAGTGTGTTCGGTGCAGAAAGTTTTGGGCACATTAGAAACAAAGAGCGAACCCATAATTCAGGAACAAACACAACTCGGCCAATTTTCAGAGTGTCACTTGTTATGTCATTTGGAATCAGATCGACTTGTGAAACTCTAGTGACCAGTGTGGAAACCTTCCAGTTCACACCACATTGTGAGCATCACTTACAGCTCAGACATCTTTTCAAACTTGCTACATTCTTAACCTGCAAAGCAGGTAGGAGTTGCTGCGGTAGTACCTACCCCGAGAGCAGGTGATACGAATCCCGTCATTTTGTGTGCTGTTTGAATCTCTGGCCAGGAGAACAGCTCGAAAACATTATCTTTACCCAGATTTGACGACCTGTGCCCACAGTGAACCCGTCGGACTCTACGGGTACGCTCCTACGAAAGTCGTCTATCTGCTCTAGCGCCAGCTCCATGAACCAAGACGAGCCGCGAACCTCGACATGTACTTTGATTGGTGTAAACAAAATCACTCTGGTTCGGGAATGGCCAGAAGTGACGAAACCATATCAGGGAGCCCACCATACCGAATAGAGCAGACGAGTTGTAACCAGTAGGAGCTAAAAAAATCCACCTCATAGTCGGAGGCAGTGTGTCACGAAATCTACGTGGCCTGCATAGACTGGCTAACACTCACTTGCAAATAGAGTCATGGGCCACGTGGCATAGCGTCGACTGAGACTCAACAGAATCTGAATAATTGGCGGGCAAGCCACATCGGCCAATAAGGACGTGTGCAATATTTTTAGAGGTTGTAAAATAAGGTAGAACTTTTTGTGGTTACCATATTTCCTTATGTCTGGGAAACTGGTTGACGAAGAGCACTCTTTACTGAAAACACACAAATAAGGGCGGGTCAAACTTTGCACGTATTCGCAGAAAACCCTACCCAACCATCTTGTGTTTTAAACAGACCGCTCTGGATCAAGCCTTAACCTTTATGAACCGCAATCGGACGTACTCTTTTGACCCGCCCTAAGTCCAACAAAAAGTGAACAAGGCTCGATTCTACGCACAAACGTGAGAGTGCACGATGAACCAAACGTGTGTAATTTTGGGTACGTACGAGGAGTTAACGAATTGCAAGAATTTTTAATGCACCAATGAGCGCACCGCCAAAACCAGATACCACTCTGTTCTTCTCGTAGAGCTAGAATACCGGGTAACCTACCCAACCTACGGGCGGCTCGGCTCACCCCCTATAAGGTCGAACATGCATATCCGAACGTGGTACTTCAACCATTTGCGAGACTCGTTTTCAAACTTCGCCTACAACGAAGTTCGAATAATGTGCACTGCAAGTTCAAATGTGTTACAATCCCAAGTGGGACTTAGTGAAGGATTGTTCAGGGTTGATCGCAGAGTAGTGTTGCAGCGGAAGTTTTGAATCTCAGGTCAGAGTGAATGTAAATGACTGAGTTGATAAAAACATGCATACATCGAGTTTATATAAGAGTACAGGGGAATACGAAAAGGCCTAGACTAGCCATGTACTCTAAGGGGTACATTCCCTTATTACAGCAAATTCAAACCGTGCGGCGCGGGAACCCGTTTTGAACCTGTTCCCGCTCTTTTCATTTCAAGTGTTTCTGCCTGCATCGGTCTCGGTCAGACGGTTGCTGCGTCGCTTCGACTCTTCTGACTCCTTGACTTCGTACTCGGTAGAGTCGGCTCCTGCAGCATACAGGAATGCCTTACTCATAAAACTTCATATCGTAACAATCCCCTTCATTCCTGGGCGCAGTCAGGAGCTGACTCGCTTGACTACTCCGGTGAGGTCAGAGCAGTGCTTGTACTGTTGACGTGGCAGGCGCTTGGTGAGAAAGTCTGCTGCCATCTCAGTAGTCGGGCAGTAGGCGAGGTCAACTTTGCCTTGGTCAATTTCGTGCTTGACGAAAAAATACCGAAGTGCGATGTGCTTCGTGCGGTTCACGAAACCAGGCTTGTTCGCAATCCTGATGGCACTCTGGTTGTCGCAGTGAAGGCGAAAGGTAGGCGAGGTTGGAATTTTCGCTTCCTGTAACAGCTCTTACAAGTACAGGCCTTCGCGAACTGCTGCTGTTGCGGCGATGTATTCCGCTTCAGCCGACGACAGGGCAACCAGCTCCTGCTTTTGTGAGTTCCAGGAGATTGGTCCAGTTGGTTCCAGGCAAAAAACAAAGCCGGTTCGGGACCGTCGATTGTTAGGGTCAGCGGCGTGATCTGCGTCCACGTAGCCGTTGAGGTTGAAGGAGGTCGTCGTCAGCGTGGAATAGGAGAGCCCAATGTCAGGCGTGGAGATGAAGTACTGCAGGGCGCGTTCCAGGTCCAGCTGGTTCTCAGCTACTGGCTTGCGAGAATACTGCACCAGTTGGCTAGCGATGTAAGAAAGGTCGGGTCGACAGGTGACAGAGGCGAACAGCAGACAACCCAGTTGCTGCTGGTACAGTTGGAGTTCTCCGGGTGATAGTGGTTTGTTGTCCGGTTTGTAGTTGGTGCTGGGGTTGCGGTAGGGAGTTGAGAGTGGTGCGGGAGAGATGTTGAAGTGTTCCCCCAGCTGCTCTGCATACTTGGAGGCTGACAGATGGATTGCTTCTGGCGCGTAGGTGATGTTTAACCCCAAAAACTGCTTCACTTCGAGGTTGATGGTGATGTCTACGCGCTGCGCCAAGTTCTCCTGAAACTGATCCAGGAGTTTGTTGCAGGTGCCCGTGTACAACAGGTCGTCGACGTAGACTGTCAGGAGGATGTAGTCTCCACTAAAGTGAAGACAAAACATTCCCGGGTCGTGTGGGAGCTGCTTGAAGCCGATTTCGAGGAGAATTTTGTGCAGGTGCTGCTGCCAGAGGCGAGGCGCCTGCTTGATCCCGTAGAGGGACTTCTTCAGTTGAGAGACCCTGGGATCACCTTCCCAGTAGGTGTGCGGCTGCTCCACAAAGATGGTGGCGTCCACCAACGCGTACAAAAACGCGTTCTTTACGTCGATGTGTCGCAGTGGCAGATGCTTCGCGGCGGCAATGGCGAGTAGAATCCGGACTGAGGTGTGGCGACTGACGGGAGCGAAGGTTTGATCAAAGTCGATGCCATGGCGCTGATCGTACCCGCGTACGACCCAGCGTGCCTTGAAACGCTCGATAGTGCCGTCGGCGTTAGTTTTCAGGCGAAAAACCCACTTCCCGCCGAGCACCCTCCTCCCCTTCACTGCTGCACGATCGACTAGGACCTAGGTGTCACGCGATTCCAGCGCCTTTAGCTCCGCATCCATCGCAGCACGCCACTCCTTGGCGTGAGGACCGGTTAGGGCCTGGCGAGGATTCTTTGGCTCCACGGCCCGTGCAAGAGTAGAGACAGATGTGTGCAGGCCGAGAAGTTGAAGGCCTGATACATTGGTGGTGTCTGTGGTGGTGGGGACTTCCACCACGTCGTCATCTCCGCTCTCATAGCCGGGTGCTGCGGTGCTTGGCTCTGCTTGGCGCCGTGATGGTCCTGGCGCGGGGTCGTCATCGCTGTCATCGTCGTCGTCGTCGCGCGGGCGAGGAGGAATGCCGGGATGTTCGTCGGTGTCGTCACGGTCCAGTACTGCCGCTGCTGCTGCGTCTTCTGGAGTCGCGAAGCTGCGGCCGCTGTTGACATAGCCGCGTGCCTGGTTTCGGCGCTCGTCCTCGATCCACTGCTTCAGGGTGAGTCGTTCATAGAAGAGGATGTCATGCGCAGGAACGATCTCCTTGCTGTCGATGTCAAGAATGAGCCAACCTTTATGCTCGTGACTGAGCCCCAAATGAACTCCCCAACGCGC